TAATTCAGCTTTTGGGCTGATTAAATCATGATTTGATATTTCTAAAGCACCCAAAAAATTTTAAAAATTCTATTAAAAATTATATATTTTAAAACTATAATAAAGACTATATTTTTAAAATTCTATTTTAAAATTGTAATTCAGCTTTTGGGCTGATTAAATAATGATTTGATATTTGTAAAGCACCCCAAAAGTTATCTTTTTAAAATTATATTTAAAATTATATATTTTATATAATATATATACGCATATATTTATATAATAAATAAATAATATTTAAAATTATATTTTAAAAATTATATTAAAAGCTATCTTTTTAAAATTATATTAGAAAATTCTATTGTATTTTTGGCTGCCTAATTGAGCTTTTGGGCTGATTAAATGATATTTGTAAAGCACCCCAAAAATGATATTTTTAAAATTATATTTGAAATGATATATTTTTAAATTATATTAAAAACTAAATTTAAAAATTATATTAAAAACTGTATGTTTCGTTTATATAAAAATATATATTTAAATAATAGAATTTTATAAAAGATATCATAATAATAATTTATTATAATATAAATTATTATAATATAAATTATTATATAAAATAATAAATTAATATAAATTAATATAATAAATAAATAATAAATTAATATAAATTATTACAATAAATTATAATAATAATAATTTATTATAATTATAAATTATATATCTATAATAATATATATAATAAATTATAATGTATTATATTATAATAATTTAATAAATAATAGGATTTTATAAAATATATTTATGTATTCTTTATAAAAGGAATAATAGAATGCTTTAAATATATATTTATATAATACTATACTATAATGTATTTAAGCAGTTGTATTAAATTTATATTTATATTAAAATTATGCTTATTAAAAATATATTTTAAATTATATTAAAATTTATATTTAAATTATATTTAAAATGATATATTTTTAAAATATATTAAAAACTAAATTTAAAAATTATATTAAAAACTGTAGGTTTCGTTTATATAAAAATATATATTTAAATAATAGAATTTTATAAAAGATATAATATTAATATATTAATAATTTATTATAATTATAAATTATATATATAATAATAATAAATAATATTATATATAAATTATATATATAATAAATTATAATAATTCATAATTATAAAATATATATAATAAATTATATATATAATTATAATTTATTATATTATAATAATATAATAATAGAATTTTATAAAATATAATTATATATTCTTTATAATAAGAATATTTATATATTTATACTTATATTATACTTTATATTTATATATATTTATATATATTTATAAAAAGAATATATAAATAGAATAATAGAATGCTTTAAATA